ATTTCGATGTGTAAAAAATTGAAAATAAAAACGTATAAAACTGGTGATAACAAACATTCTATATATATATATATATAATGAGTAAAATATCTACGAACAGGGAACATGTTGAAAATGTGATTTAAAAAATATGGGAAATGAAATGAGACGTCAGTGCACTTGCATTTTACATATGTTGTAGCAGTTTGTCTATTCTGCATATTTGAAAATATTCTTTATACATCAATGTATTTGTTACATTCCCACATATTCTGCATACTCAGGTTCCTTCTGCATTTACAGATGAATTCGACACAATTTGACTTATATGTTATTGACTCAGCATATTGTGACCTATTCTACATGTATCGTATTTTGCACAGAACAAATTACTCTGTATATTACGATATACTGTACATATATCACATATTCTTATGTATTCTGCATATTTTAGTTTTTTCTTCATATTCTATGTTACTGTGCATTATTTTAACTTATTCTGCATACTCCAATATATTCTATATGTTACGCACTGCGCGTATTTCGCATTTTATAAATTCTCAACATTCTACTACTTTTTAACTTATTGAGACAAAAAAATAAACTTATACGAACTACTTATAAGCAGTGTTGAAGAAAGTCCTACAAAGTATTACAAAGTAATTTATAAAATGTGCTGAATGTATGCATATATTTACAAATTGGGTAGAAACATTCTTAAAGTATCTATAATGCATGTAAATGTATACATACACACATTTATCTGTAAATATGTATAAGAATATGCAAAACATATGTATTTTTATGCAAGATATGCGCATTTTTAAAAGATAAAACAAATTTCTATCCAATTGTAAATGTGTTACAAGAAAATACCCATTTATATAAACATCCACAGTATTCTTCTTAAAAACATCGAACAAATTTAAATCTACATTCTTCTCTGTTTATCTATCAGCATTTCGAATGAATTCTTATTTTAAGACGCAATACAGCAATAGTAATGCATCAGATTTTAATAATAGTATTCAGTTAAATGACAAAACACTTGATATTATGGAATATGCTATAACGAAAACAATTCCATAAGTGTTACATAAATTTCTCTTGTCTACTATGTTTCACAAGTAATTATGCTTTTCGATTATTAGCATTTTCATATACATTGTAATATTTCGGAGTAAATAAAAATTTTGGAAAAATATGAACTTCGTCAACAAGAAAAATAAAAAATATTTATATGTAAACTTCCTCATAGGTATCTTTACACACTTGGAAAATATCATGCAAGAAATATAAAATGAAGAAAGAAACGTTATATGTAGGCAATTGAATAATTATGTTCTGAATTACATTGAATTAATTAAAGCAGTCAAATTTTGTAACGAAAATACGACATTACATGTCGAATGAATCAATATTATTTCGTTACTTCGCAAAATGTCAGAATTGTGTTGAAATACTTGGTGAGTTAAAATATCAGAACATCGGCGTTGATACATGCCGTCTGTGGTCCATCATAATTTGACATTGCTTGCGCTATCGCACAGAAATGGATCTCTTGACGTTGCCTGCACTCCAGTAACATCACACGAATGGGTCATGGTGGCCTGGAAAGCTTAACGAGACAGTGCCACGTGGGAAGCTCCGCAATGAAAATCAATTCTTTGGTTTCATCAAGAACTGCTCTGAATCATAATGCAATAAGATTTTTCTCTAAAACTTCTTATTATGAGCCAGCACATATTATTCATGAATATGATATAAAAACGTTACAATCCAAGTTCATCCTACAGTAACACAAAGTAAAATGACTACAAACCTATTACACGGGTGTAATTTACAGCACGATGCTCGGTATAACACTCGCAGATGTGGCAGACAGATACGCAGGTGAAGTAGAGTAAATACATACTGCCTAAGATGAACGTTGACGGAAAATTTTAATTAAGGAATGTAAACGACGACATGTATTAGTCCTCGCGAAAAAAGAGAACGATACGTCGGTAGGGAAAGACAGTTGTTGTGCTTTGAATGTTTCGATTTTAGTTTTTACAATTGTTTTGCGTTCGGTACACTTTGTTTGTTGAGATGTGACAGTGCATGGAATTATAGAATAACTTTTGTATAGAATAGCTTAAGTTTCATGAAAAGTATAAGGTAATATTGAAAATCAAAGGCACAACACGTTGATACGAAAGAGATTGATATTATGCACGCGTGACTGATGTCACAAATGTTGTGAAATAATGTTGAAAGCTTAACATTTTTATTTATACTTGAATTTAAAATAATGTGTTTGATCTTCCTTTTCTAAGAAACAGAAAACATGTATACATAGAATGTACCAACAAAGGTAATAAACATCGTCTATTTTGACCCTCTCTTATTGTATTATGAGCAAAAAAGTCTGTATTCGTTCATTTAAAATGAACGAAACATCAATATTTTTATTTTAGGTTTATATTATCCTGCTTGTCGAAATCACTATCTCGTTTGAGACTTCTGCTCCTATAAAAATAATTTTCAATGATACTAAACTGTAAGAAACTCTCAAATGCCAAAAATAAATATTGTAAGTAAAAATAAGAAAACCATAAGTATGCTTTCCTTTAAAGAATATAAGTAAGTGCGTAATACATTTATAATATGAAAACTGAAATTTTTTTCGTTATCATTTTATTGCGAAAATGTAACTTTTCTGACGTACGTAAAATTGTTTACAGAATAATTAAGGATAAAGGTATAAAATAATGTCTCTAATAAAAACCTTCAATTTTTACAACATATGTTCAAATGTAGGTTTCATTCACACTCGACAACCCTATCTTGAACGTACCATCTGTATTCTTGTGTAAGTAAAATGAATACACTAAAACTATCCACTCGACAAGCTACCAAAATAACACTGCAAAGAAAACAAAACTTTTGTTAGCATTAACTAGTCTATTCTCCAGAGGCACATAGAAAATAATTTAATAAAGATTATATTTAATTCTGTGTATTCTAAGTTCTGTGAAAAATTTCTCTCCTATTTAAAAAAAATGAAGGTTAATTTTTCATGAAATAATTAAAAACGTAGCAGAGAAAAACAACTCTAATTTTTCAGTTAACATACATTTAAATTTTAAAATAATACGATGCTGCAAAATATTTTTTAAATTAGAAGTAAACTATATAAGAATTCAATACACCTGTTCCATTAAATGAACTTGTATTGCCTATAATGTTGTGTCACGATGATTAATGGTGCGCAACATCAACCGCGCACCGACGGTGTACCAGAAAGGACGAAAACAACGATTGAGTTAAGTTTATTAAGTTTAATTACGATTCATATACAAAGTTTTAAAGTGTGTTGCACGTTGCTCGGAACGCGTAATGAGCCGATTACGTTCTTCAATTATTTTATTGCTTGTTAATCGTATACTCCGTTAATTAATAATATTGACGAATTGAATGAGTTAAGTTATATCATTACAATTATTATTAGCTGTAAACCTATGGTAAAATAGACATCACAAATAGAATTCTTAATTATTTTTCTCGAATTTAAACCTTATATATACGGGTTTTAAAGGACTGTTAGCTACAAACTTATTATGAAATTAAATGACAATTAAAGAATCAGGAAATGCTAGGACATGAAAACAATGTGCAAAGTATAGCACATCTACCAAAGTGTTATTATTGTACTTTTCTTATTTATATTGTAACCAAAAATGTTCTGTCTTATATTTCACTCTTTTACATTATATGCGAATGAAATTCTTTTATTGTTATGTGGAATTCTAACTGCATCCTTCTATAGACACAACCGTATTTACGTGATAAATGTTCCAATGATGTTGTTAATTAGGATAATTACGACATAGGATACTATTCATTCGATTAGGAAAACAACCGTGAAAAGTGGTGAACTTTTCAAAGTGACGTATCGAGGTCGCTTATTCGCATGACTAAGATCTCCAAGAATGCGCAAGATCTCCTGTGGCTGGTTAGAGCGCTCTAGAACGCCGAAGATCAAGAGAGCAGAGACGGTTTAAACTGTGTGTGCCCCGTCCCAGCGTGACTCTATTAATACCCGCGCCTCGTCGTCGCGCCTTAAAAACGCACGCATCGCTGTGGAGACGTGTACGAACCACGAGAAAAATCATCCGTAAAAACTTATTCTGCATTTAACAAGGAGCTGAATGAAGGAATCATCGATCACTTTGTCCTTAGATCCATTTCAGCTAGAATGCTGAAGAAGGAAAATTAAATCTACGAATTAATAAGAGGAACCATGTTTAAGTTCTTGAGGAAGGAGGAAGCAAAAGTTTCCTAAAATTGGTTTGTTTCACTAAACGCAACAACATGACGCGAATGTGTGATATATCGAACAAAACACTCGTAAATAGAGAAAAACATCTGGCTGCATTTCAATTAAACGTGGTGCAGAGAGCTTGAAATACGTGTGCCGCCCTAATAAAAATGTCCTTCTGGCAATCACTATTGTGTCAGAAATACTATATAAACGGAAAACTTAAAACGAGTTGCAGAACTTTGAAAAAGCCATTGTTTCAACAGGACATACCGTAGATATCGTACAAGTGCATTCACAGGCAATTATGCGACTAACTACAGACATTTACTTCGTGAAGCTATTAGGAACGAGTTAATAGTAACTTTGCATCGCACCAATTCATGGACGGTCGGTTATCATAAACAGAAGAAGGAAGCAGCAGAAACTGTTGCAGTTCCAGCGGTGTAGCCCACAGATGTCGTGTGAGGTCTTAAACCCGATCAGAGTCAGCGCAAATATATCCAATCGGCACTTTTGCAAATTCATTTCACGTAACAAGATATTTTCAAGTGGATTTCAAGATAATTAACTACAATATTATCTGCAACTTTCCTAATTATATCATGTATCGAAGACAAAACATTCTTCTGGTCGGTAAACAGAAAACTGCAAAATTGACCTTCCACCACTGCGAGTACACCCTAGACGAATGTCATTTTCCCCAAAAATCACTCACCTTTGATTGTCCAATGGTGAAAGTTAGGAAAAATCTCGTTGTTTAGTCCACCAGACTGAAGCAACGAGTGTGTTCCAAGAAGGGGTAGGTCAAAGTACACAGTGTCAACTCCTCTGTTACTCCTTGTACGCGAGCACCGTACACCCTTTCTGCCCCCCGAAACCGTGAGTTTCAAGTGAAAGCCGGCACCGATAAGGAAATGTGAACGCGAACGTATAGCAAGTGGACAATCGAGCGAGCAAGCGGGGTCACTCTGCGAGGGGCACGACGCGTGCTGGGGCTCCCTCGACCGAGTCGCGACTGATATCATTTCCAGCGGGGGACTGTGGGGTCGGCAGCCAGAACCCCACCAGGGGGTCTTCGTGCAACCCCCACGCGGTGTCGTAGTAGTCGTGTTCGCCGTCGTGGTTGTGGCTCGTTGTCGTCGTGGCTCCACCGTTGCTGGTCTCTCGAAACCCCCTTCGCACGTACAGGGAATAAGGGACCAGGATGTGTACGCGTATCATGGGGAGAGGCTTCTCTTTCACTCTCTTCCTCTCTCGCTCTTTCTTTCGCTTTCTTTCTCTTTTCCTCTCGCGCGCCACGATCCTGCCTATGTTTTTCGCTCTCGTTCCCTTGCATCTTCGGTTTCCTTCTCCGTTCCACGCACGCTGTCGATGCATCTATCTCTCTTTGTTCCTCGCCGAACTTCTCCCTCCGCCTGGATTTCTATCCTTGTTTCACTCGACGCGCTATATTGAAACGTCTGTCCCTCTTTCGTTGGTCACATTCTAGCTTCACAGCCCGAGCATGCACACACGCATAGAGGAGCGCGCGCGCGCGCGCGTGAATACTGTTGTAGGTCCCTCCTTCCCTCCGTTCGTTGGCACCCTCCCTAGCCGCGAACCCCTTGCCCCCGCGTACCCAGCAGCTTTATCCACCCTGAACCCTCCCGTTTACGAGGGGTTGCTTCTCGGTAGCCTGATCGGACGTTTGCGAGAAGAAGGGACCTTCCCTTTTGCCTCTCCGCGCCACCCTAGCCCTGCTTTTTTTATGTATTTCAGATTCGGGATTGTTTTATCCCAGAGAAAAATTTGATCGCGTGTCTAAGTATTGCGTTGTGCATAGTTCGAAATGTTTGATTTTGTAGCTACATAATTATTATATTACTTTTGATATGAGATACAGGTGTCAGGGGTAAACCACCTACTATTTTCACTGTAAGAGAATTCACGCATTTGTCAAATCTACACTCTTTGACGAATTTTTTCAAAATATGTTGTATTGCTTATTTAAAACACTTTGAAGTGAATCTACGAAACTTCATGAATGATATTGCAACAACTATTCAAACAAATCCCTTAGATATGTGCTTCCTAACATCGTCTGCACCTGTTACACGTGTTCATTCACTTTATTCTCGATTCACGGCAAAGGCTTTACTTACGAGTATCTTAAGAACGATAACGATAGCGATAACATCGCAAAGGAATTCTACTCTGTAGCAAGAAAAGCCCAATTTTCAAATGGAAAGCAAACGAAATTTCTATGATACTACTGTCGCCTCCGGCGAGACTCGAGGGGGCAATATTACCGGTACATTGTTTGGTTCGAAAAGTGAACACGCGTAAAAGACCTTGGAACATGAAACTACTCGTTGAGGAGTGTCGCAATACGATGAGCACAGACTGCAACGGCTACTGACGTAATCATCACATGGGTACGTGTATATTTATGTCTGTGCTCCGTGTAGATACACGTGTGCATATGAATCGTAGTACATCGTACACCAATTGCTGCAGTCAACTATTACTAATATTACAGTCCACAAAATCTATCGCAAATGAAATTACCTTGCTATTATCAAGTGTCACCTTTTATTTACTATTTGAAACAAATAATAATATAATAATTTTGCTACTCAATTTTTAAAAAAGCATTTACATCTGGAAAAAATCTTAATTTGTTCAAAGAATATGGAAAACAATTTTTCTTACAATAAATTGATTGTTCGCGTCTGAGGTGACCGTCCGACGATTCGGGGGCAGTGAGCGAATATCGATTCGTTATTTTTAGGGGCAGTCTATCCATGGACCCCACCTTCGCCGCTGGCGAGACCGAAAATTTGTCTCTAATGAATTATCGTTATGTACAATTTTCATAAGCTCAACGCATTTCGTTAACAATCGTTGAACAAAGTCAAATCTAAAGGGATAGGTGGAAAATATAAAAAATTTTATTAAATCTTGTTACAAGTGTAAATGATACAGGTTTCATTGTAAAATATCTTAAAAATATTGGACAAAAGATGTGAAATCGATATTATTGTCGTCTAAAAACTGTTGACAACTGATATATATTTAAGTAGCCTGCTAATTTAGCTACGGGATATTACATAATTTTTAAACTTCAAAAAACTCAAGTATAACATATAACATTCAATCATTGGAAACATTGATTACTTATTACAACAATATTTTTACTGAATTTCAAAAAAAGTGTGATTATGAATTAATTATGAAAATAATAATGATAATAAATCTCAATCTTATATAATTCAGTATTTTTTATTTTCGTTCAATGATTAAAATATAATGCGTAAATAGTTTTGACTTCGAAATAAACAATTTTAAATAAATTTACAATTGTCATTACTTAAAATAGAAGAAGCAAAGTTCTTGAAACGTTTTGTCAAGACCATGTATACAAGTTATTTGAATATTTAATACTTTCTAAGATTTGAATACGTGATGAATCAGAACTGCAAAAATGCTTCAATAATTCATCATTAAATCCACAATCGCTAAGATTTTCTTTAGCAAAAATATTTTGTGGCATTTTTAGTGTGTCATCCGTTTCTGTTTGTTCTGTAAAAACATAAAATTTATGTACATTAATTACTACAAAATTGAATATTAACATACAAAATTCATTATTTACCAAATCCGCGTTTTGCTTCTGAAAAGGAGGATGTTGACTCTAGTTGAGCGCAGCTTGCAGAATATTGGTCTAAATGACTAGATTTCATTAAAGAACACAGAGAGGGTAACACATGCGGTAACAGTGGCCCTTTCAATTCCAAAGAAAAATATCTTTCGTTGTCGACGCGTACCATGCTTTCCTTAACCTTTAAAAATTCAAAATAATGAATATAGTATACACAAAAATTTAATTATAAAAATAGTATACCTTAATTGATTTTAATGTGGCACCATGGAAAGCTACAGGAGCTAGAAGCGTTGGGGGCACTCCTGCTAAAGGGCCAATGGTTGTAATGGCTGATTTACAATTAATTAGAAAATTGAACAAGCCTTGTGCTTCAACCCCTTTAACAAAAATGAGAGATTGCTTCATGTTATCAATTTCAGTTTCCTTTTCTAATGTCATTCTCGCCTACAACAAAATTAAGGGATATTAAACATTTTAAATATAAATAAAAGCAAAGTATTAAAACAAAATACCTGAGAACTATGAATTTTACGAATTTCAGAATTCTCAACTCCAAGACTTTGCAACCATTCATCTTGAGTTTCATCCTCGTCATCGTGGCTTTGATCTTCTGAATGATTTGATTGTGTGGTATTATTCGATATAGGTATATCAAATGAATCACAGCCAGAGTCAGTTACATCTGATCGTCTTTTAGAATCTTTCTTTAAAGGCATTGTAAATTCTATTTCTATGAAAAATTATAATATTATGTACATATTTCTAATTGTATGTATCCATATTTCAACTATCTCATACCTTCTTGTTTCAATGATTGTCGGAAACCACGCGTAGTGGGAGCCAAAAGTGCATGAGCTTCAGATATTCCACAGATCCCAGCAGCACGGAATAATACAGTAAAATTATTTGCACAAACGTAAAAATATGGACATTGGCCTGCTCGTAGTAAGTGGAAAAGAGACCTAAAGCTTTCACTCCAGTCTTTGTATAAAGCATCTTTCATAGACATGTTACTCATTGCAGTCAAATTACTCGTTAAATTGGTACTCACTTTGCCAGCAGAGCGAGGAAATAATTCTAACCATGGCAGTGAAGGATGTTGCCATATTAAACAACACCTATGAAGCCTATTTAAAGCAAATACTAGTAATAATTACTGAGTAAGTATTTTTATTGCATTAAAATATATAAAAATTTAAGAAATCACCTTGCATTTGGACTAGTGTCTAATGTTGAATCTTTTTCACTAATATCTAAACACCTCACAAAACCAGTCGTGCCGGATGCTTCCTCACTAGTTTTTAATTTAGAATTCCATGGAAATGATTTTGGTGACATAAACCTCATTTTTGTTTTTAAAGTCCAATCTATTGGAACATATTTTGTACCTTTTGGTATTTCTATATCTGTATTGTTCTTACTTGTTTCGATTTTTGAAAGTAAATTAGAGAATGTTAACGGAGATTTTACTGTAGAACTTTCAAGTGTCTGTTTTGGAGATTCAAATTTCAATAGTTCAAATAATGTATTATCATTACTAGCTTCTAGCTCAGGTGTTACATTTGGCCGCTTGTTGATTTCATTTTTTGCAAAAGGATTTTTACGTTTTTGAGATGTACTTTGACTATTTGTAAGATTACAATCCTTTAATACATCTGTAGACTCCAATTGCACACTTTCTATGTTAACGCGTGTATTATTCATACGTGCTTGAAGTGCACGTTTCTTTAGTTTTAATCGATGCAACTGCATTACTTGTTCGGGTCTCTTCCATTCTGATGTTTGTACTTTTTCTGATTCCTCCATTGACAAGCATAAAATAAGTTTGTCATGCTGCCAAAATTTTGATAATATTTTAATAAAAAGGTATTAGTAATTTTTATCAATTAAAATGTAGTCTTTTATTACTTAAATCATGTTTTACTTGTTTGTTTATAATGATATTATAGGTTAGAATTCTAAAGTCACAATAATACAAACAATAAAAATATTTTAATGCTTTTTAAAGAAACATATTATAAACAATTTATATAGTGATACACACCGTTGTTTAAAATGTTGCTTATCTCATAAAATCATCAGTTAAATAAACTTTTCATAACTGGCCAACCAAAATACGTAATATAGGATTAACCCCCACAGTGTTCCAGCTTACTATGACGTAATATATGTAGGTGCACATATGTAGGCAAGTACTACTTTTCTTTTGTGTATGTAAATACATTTACACATGCATATGCTATGTACCTATGGCTAGCATTTAGTTAAAGGTATTATTCACTTTATTTTGAAAATCTATTTGTAAGAATCACAAACCAAAAGCAGTGCTCTCTTATTTTTTCTACATCATAGTATCAAACGCCGTTTAATGTATTTTAACTTTCGCTGTATGCATAATGAGAAATAAAACTAAATTTCTCAGTTATGGTAAAGTATTTTTTCTATTAGCTCTAATTATTTTTTTTATTCTCTCAAATAAATATTGTACACGTGTATATAAGTTGATTTAGTATAAAGTAACAAACTATTGAAGACATACTGTACCTATAGATGGTTTTAACATCCGATGAACTAATATATAGGGTGTTTCAGTAAGAATTACCAATTAATTATCTCCGTTATTTCCGAAGATATAAAAAAACCTTATTAACAAAAGTTGTTCAATATAATGAGGACTATAGTGTGACAATAATAATTTTTTTATCATTGGAAGAGTTACAAAGATTTCAAGATCACCTTCATGTTTTTTAAATGCAATCATATTGACAAAAATAGATAATATTTTTAAGGAAAATTAGAACAATCACATTTATAACATACGTCTTTTCACCTATTAAGTCACGCAACAAACTGAGAAGTCCTACAAACCGTACCCGAGAACAACAAAAGACGATTGTCGGATCGGACGATTTCGTAGCTAATATATATTATATAATATACTCTTCTATGCAATATCCGATGTAGCTCTGTATTTTCTATAAAAAGGTATTAATTTATGTATGTCAAAAGGTTATTACCTAGTTAGAGGATATTTCAATTTTTCGTTTGTTGAACACCTTAAATCTTGGTTTTCATATTTTAGTGTGTATTAACATTTAGCAGCTCTCAATGAGAAGATTATTAAAGCACTCTGTATATGAGGTATTACATAGGGAACAGTTATACCAAACAGCATAAGTATAGTGCCAGACATAGATAATTTTCGTTCTTACTGTTAATTATCTGCATCATTCATAGAGAAACAAATGAATTGTACTATCCCTAATAAACTATTCTGGCGGCGCGTTTTCCTTAATTACCGATGATACAAGAAGGGTAGTGTTTATGCTGATATTTCCTGCGTTGAAAGATATTTTTCACAGCTAATTTCCCAATTTTCAGACAAGTGAATAAATTTGTAGTTTTATATAAGTACATTATTTTTAGACTTTTAGGTATGTGTAAATGGTTTGTTTTCGAAACACAATTTTTTACTTTTTATATTACGGATGTAACTTAAAGCTTCACTACATGCTTGCAGTACAATACTAGAAACCTTATATGTACTTACATATTCTACTTATGTATGTACACACGTTGGTCAGGAGAAGAGCCCAGGAAGAAATGCGATATTTTACAGTTGCAAGTAAGCAATCGAAACTATAAACAAAACACATAGCTCTTGCCCCTGTGTCGTCCCAGGACTTTTCTCCTGAGTAACGTTGAGTAATAGTACATCTTTTTTCATTTTTTGTAATTAAAGTTGTTGGATTTTTTCTTCACTGTTTTGTAAAAAAAAATATCCGAAATTAAAGAGAAAGAAGGAAAACGGGTGTAGAACAACATGGAAGCGATATTAAAAATGATGCTTGTAAATAAAACGATTGTAATTGCTTGTAAAAGACGTTCATGGAAAAAATGAAAAAAATGAATGAAAATAGAAAAAAGAAAAGCTAAGAAAACACTAAAAAAACTGAAAGTATTAAGAAAGGAAGAGAGTAAGGAGAAAAAGTTACTAAAAAGCTTTATCAAGAAAGCAACTAGACTTTAATAAGGTAGTTAATTTAAATTATTTAACCGAATACATCATTTGCAAAGAGTTATTTAATGAAGATTGAACGTAGTGCGAAGGTTTAAATATGTTTTATCAATATCGTTAAATAGAAGATAGTAAACAAGCTTTGAGATTTTCTCGTGTACAGAAACAGTTACCGTGATTTGTAGTGTCTAGTAAGCATAAATATAATTCATCATACATTCCACTGATTTTAAAGTTTATTTTTGTAAAACATGCAGTTTCGTAGGGGAAGAAAACATTTCATCATTTTCCGTGTTAATTTATTACGAACCATGCCATTTTTCTTATTCCACTTTTTCTTTAATGCATGTTTTAGTTTGTATAGTAATTTGTTAATAAATATTATTGAAAAATATTTGATCATTTAAATTATCCACATCATATAGAGAAAAACAAATCATTCATAGCGTGAACACATGTATCATAAATAACTGAAGAATATTTAATTAAATCAAGAGTAGCTCGAGATTGAATCGGGGCCCGACCGATAGTGCGTATCGGACTTAAGGTTTTATTTATATTACGTTTCAATACAGGTAAGTTTATTAATCATCGTATAAATGATGAAATAATTTTGAGCGGCAGCGCATCTTTTTTTAAGTTTTAAATTGCATGCTCAGCGAAGAATAAGCTCTACATTAAATTAATGGAAAATTTACTTCTCTGTAACACCTCAATTGAAGTTCTCAGACGTCGTTAAGGTCAATATGCAATTTTCATTACGACGTCGTTATTCTCTTTAATTTACAATTGTTAGCGCTTAATCTACGTTCTCTGAACATTGAATACTTAACTACGCGAAGCGATGTATTATGGGAAATCAGTGATCAATCAATTTACTTGCAATTATTTAATTGCGGGTTAAGAGGTCCCTCGAAGGTATTTTTGATTTTCACTTATTGTTCAAATTATTTATATCTGTGGTTACTAGTATTTATCATTATCGAGCATTATATTGTGATCTTGATGAACAGTAAACTTTATAGGAAATCTTTACAGAATAAAGTCTTTTGGAACGAGTAAGTGAATTGATTATTGCGTTTACTATCTAATTGTTATATCTTTCCTATTGAAAATATTATTTAATACTTTTGGGCTCAGGACTTTTATAAGCAATTTTATATAAGTATCTTTACTTTCACGAACAGTGCAATAGTCGATAGTAACTAATGTAAGTATTTTATGAAGTGACGGTTCACAATGAGAAGCTTAACTTATTGTACGCCCGACCCGCGTAATTGTGGGATTAGTCTATCACTTAACCGTTGATCCTTCATTATAGCAACATTTTAGATATGTATAATACAAATCAAAAATGCAATTAAAAAACCACATTAATTGTTCTTTTTGATAAGTTCAAAATTTTGGTTCGGTTGATGTTCAAAAATATATTAACATAGTCATCGATTCTCAGCCATGAATATTAGTGGTTGATATTTATCCGCTGTGCAATGTGTTAATTTGCAATTTATCAATTATTCCGGCTGCACTATTGTATTCGGGCAACGAAATGTTTAGTTCAAATTCCTAATTTTGGAAGTATTTTGGGATATTAAAGCTAAAAATCATGGTCTTTTCCTACGAAAATGAAGAATCTTATAAGTACAGCACACGAAATAGTTACAAATAATTCAATATGTAGGCAATAACATCGATTCTCATAAAATTCCTATATATTGTAGAAATGCACATTTTGAACAACTTTTTCTTGTAACAAACATATTACTGTCTATTACTTTCCGAGATAATCACAAAAAACTATCGGTACCGCTACATTAAATTCTGTATGCATGAGCGTGGCTGCGACACAGCAACATAAATAAAAGCATAACTGCACGTTCGTCACTGAGGCGGTGGCTTACTCATGAAATGAGTATTATTCAGATAACAGAGATTGGTATTAATAGAGCTGGCTTTTTTGGGGTGTGGTGCTGCTTTGCCCCTCTTCCACCTACGCTTTAATTTCATAATTGTCAAATTGGACCTTAACGAATTGAAATTCTGTCAAAATAACATATTTAGACTAAAGGTTTTTCAGCTATTTTTGTGCTCCATTTATAAAAACCGTTTATTTCCGCGAAAACCATGATTTTCAGTTTTAGTGGCCCAAACTATTCTCGAAGTGAGATGAATAAAACAATTTACAGCCCAGATATTATTGTGTATCCTATATTTCATTTTTAATAAAGTTAAGTTAAGCAAACATGAGAGTTATTAAATTATTTCGATTCTATATGCATTGTACCACAAATTAATTTTCTATTCGTATCTAAAATCTCTTGAATTACTGATTAATCAATATATCGAAGCAAAACGAAAGGTTCAATTGTGTGACAACTGTTTTCGTTTCGATCATTAAGCAGATATTATGTATTTAATCCGGGTAATAACATATTTTTAACTAATAACGTAACACAAACCTCTATTGTAACTTGCATTCCCGATCTAAAGCAAATTATTAATTATTATACATATTCACGAAGCTAAATTTCAAAAGTGTCATCGCCGCTTTAGTTGTCATTTAATATAATATTTAATTATAATTTATTATAATAATTAAGTTATGATTCTTAATGAAATTGCAGACGGGTATCAATGAAGATTTGAATCAATGAAGCACAATTCACAAACTTGTTTCGATATTTAAATCATCAATGAGAATTTCAAACAGACCTTGAAATTCTTCCCCCTATTGTGAATTTTAAGATTGACATCTATTATACCTAGATATTTAATGACTATTATATACCTCTGTTGTATACATGACAGACAGGTATTATAATAGGTCAATTCTGAATGAATACATCGGATTGTAAGGTCGTTTACGCTAACTTATGATATCGAACAGTATTTATGCTGTATGTCAAACTTAGCAAATTACAGTTGAATTGTATAGTTGATTGAAACAAATTTTTAATATCAATAATAATAATCATATCTTTCAATATCAATATCTAGGTAGATTAATATGCTGTTTATGTACACATATCCTAGCGCGAACATATTTGTAAATTGATCGGTAGGTATATTAAATATTACAATTGAGATTACTTAACTGATAGTTGAATTAGGAGTAAAATCTTGAAAATAGAATTGCCCTCTTGACAATAAATCCTTTTAACTTGTAGTTGGATTTCTTTAAAAAATTAAAGTTTACATTAATTGGATTTTGCTTAAATACTGGAGCAGTGGTATGTACTATTATTGTTGCATTTATTGTTTTTCTAGAATTATGAAA